GATCCCTGAGCAGAGCTGGGAGTGATCCCTGAGCACAGAGTGGGAGTGATCCCTAAGAAGAGTTGACTGATCCCTGAGCACAGTGCAGGAGTGATCCCTGAGCAGAGTGGGAGTGATTCCTGAGAAGAGGCAGGAGTGATCCCTGAGCACAGAACAGGAGTGATTCCCTAAGCACAGAGTAGGAGTGATCCCTGAGCAGAGCTGGGAGTGATCCCTGAGCACAGAGCAGGAGTGATCCCTGAGCACAGAGTGAGAGTGATCCCTGAGCATAGCTGGGAGTGATCCCTAAGCACAGAGCAGGAATGATCCCTGAGCACAGAGTAGGAGTGATCCCTGAGCAGAGCTGGGAGTGATTCCTAAGCACAGAGTGGAAGTGATCCCTGAGCACAGAGCAGGAGTGATCCCTGAGCAGAGCTGAGAGTGATCCCTGAGCTAATAGTGGGAGTGATCCCTGAGCACAGAGTGGGAATGATCTCTGAGCAGAGCTGGGAGTGATCCCTGAGCACAGAGCAGGAGTGATCCCTGAGCAGAGCCAGGAGTGATCCCTGAGCACAGAGTGGGAGTGATCCCTGAGCACAGAGCAGGAGTGATCCCTGAGCAGAGCTGAGAGTGATCCCTGAGCTAATAGTGGGAGTGATCCCTGAGCACAGAGTGGGAATGATCTCTGAGCAGAGCTGGGAGTGATCCCTGAGCACAGAGCAGGAGGAGTGATCCCTGAGCAGAGCCAGGAGTGATCCCTGAGCACAGAGTGGGAGTGATCCCTGAGCACAGAGCAGGAGTGATCCCTGAGCAGAGCTGAGAGTGACCCCTGAGCTAATAGTGGGAGTGATCCCTGAGCACAGAGTGGGAATGATCTCTGAGCAGAGCTGGGAGTGATCCCTGAGCACAGAGCAGGAGTGATCCCTGAGCAGAGCCAGGAGTGATCCCTGAGCACAGAGTGGAAGTGATCCCTGAGCACAGAGCAGGAGTGATCCCTGAGCAGAGCTGAGAGTGATCCCTGAGCTAATAGTGGGAGTGATCCCTGAGCACAGAGTGGGAATGATCTCTGAGCAGAGCTGGGAGTGATCCCTGAGCAGAGCCAGGAGTGATCCCTGAGCACAGAGTGGGAGTGATCCCTGAGCACAGAGCTAAGAGTGACCCCCAAGCATCACCAAGTGTGACCCAGAAACAAACTGACGAGCCTGACTTGGCAGCAGCACAGGGACTTCCTGTGGCCCTTCTCCGTCCCCCCAGACCCAGGACCCCCGGCTGTGCCCTCTCACGCCCCACCCCGTGCTCGGAAGCCCCACATTAAACTCTCCTCAGGGCGCAGGCCGTACACTCCAGCTCTGGAGTGGGTTTGCTCCGCTCACGCTGGCCCTGGCCCGAGTCACAGCTCCAGGAGAGCCTGCCTGGGGGTCCCCAGGGGGCACGGAGTACAGGGTCACTGGGGGCTCCCTAGAATTAGGGGTGAGGGCACCTACCTTGCAGTGTTGGATCAGCAGCACACGGTGGTCCCGGATTCCCGCTGAGCCCCCACCCTGGGTGGCCCATCCCCACTGGGTCCCCGTTGGACTGGGGTCAGGGACAGCCCCCACAGCCCTGGCACCTCCTGCACCCCCCCAGCCTCCCCTCTCCTCGGACCCCTGCCCAGCAGGCGTGGAACCCCATTTCCCATTCTTCCTGCCTCTCAGCCCAGTTGGGCTGAGAGGAGGAACTCTGTCCGCTTCAGGGGGGGAAAGCACCCAACTCTGTCCCGGCCCCCACCAAGAGGAGCGCGCTGCCGTGCCCAGGGCTGGGGGCAGCGAGGCCGCCCGTCCCGACTCCTGAGCCTGAGCAGCTGTGGGGTCGGCACTGCTGGGGTAACAGGCCGAGAGGTGGGGGTCTCCCCGGCTCTGGTGGGCTTCCCCAAACTTCGCCGGACAGCGGCTACAGGCCAGTCCCTCACCCCTCGCTGGCCATAGCTAGAGCAAGGCGGGGAGCCCCTCGGACCCCGATCCCGGCTCAGGGGCCCCGTGCTGCCCGCGCCCAGGTCCCAAACCCCAAGGTACAGCCGCTTCTGCAGTGGCCGCAGAACCAGGGTCACGGGGGACTTATATGGCACGGCCGGGAGGAGGAGGGTCCGGGGGGGTCCGTTCCTTAAGTGCCAGCCTCAAGATGGCCAAGCGCAGGGCACTTGGGGCCTGGGAGACGCCCAAGGGCAATGTTCTCTGTCAAGGTCACCTGCGGGCGCGGGCCCGAGACGGGGGCCGTGCCCAGTTCCTACGGCAGGGACAAGGGCAAGCACGCCTGACCCCTGCTCCCTGGCCGATGCCCCGGGGAGAACGGCATTCTCCACTTGCTCGGAACGCGTGTCTGGGCTCGAAGGAGAACAAGGCTGTTTGGCTCCCACAGACGTCCCCCGACCCCCACCCCGCAGCGACAACTCCCCCCATCCTGGTGTACCGCCTCCAGGAAGCCCCCAGGACTGCTGCCTCCTGTCCTCCACCTTTGGGGGTTCAGAGAGCAGGCCCAGTGGCTTGTGAGGCCACCTGGAAGCAGGAGGGCCCTGGCGGGGGTCCACTCTACCCCTGTAATCCCGTTCCATCCAGCAGCGCCCGGTTCCGACAGACCCAGAGGGGCCCTGCAGGAACGCTGACTCCTCAACAGGACTCGGCCACACAGGTGTGTGTGGGGGGGGCGGGGGGAGTCGGGGACTTGTGGACCCGTCAGAACTTGAACCCGGGTCTACCAGACACAAGGGGACCCCGCTACCAAAGACAGGGTCCAGAAGGGCGGGCCCAGGAGCACCGGTGAGGAGACACACAGGGCCCGTCTGACCCGGGGACAGCCTGGCACAGCTCTGAGTACCACCGGGCGTGGCCCCTGAGCAAGACACAGCCGGGGAAACTGAGGCTGGCGTGGGCGCGAGCAGCGTCCAGGTTACTGCAGGCCAGGCAGACGCCCGCTCTGCAGAGGAAACGGACAGAAACACCTCATGTGGACAAGTTCACGGAGCTGGAAATGGTGTGGCCGGGCAGGACCTCCCCTGCCGGGTCCTGAGTCCCAAGGGACACCCGATCCAGCATCACCTGCTTGGCCACCACCTGCTTGGCCTCGCCAGGTGCCCGCTGTTAGGCGGCCAGGCGGGGCCAGGCAGCTGCAGCCGGCCGCCACCGCCCAGGGCTGCAGGCGGGGGTTTCGGGGGTGGGGGCCTCTCGTCCCCGCGCAGGCTCCCTCTCTCCGGGACAGGGTGAGAGAACCAGCCGGAGCCGAACTGTGCCCCCACCCGGCCTGGGGCCTGACCCGAGAGGGGGGCCGGCGACCTTGAGTGTTCCCGGGCTGTGCCCGCCCAACCCCACGCCTCTGACTCCCTTCCAAGAACAACGTGGCCAGTTCCCAGCCTCAGCCCGCAGGAAGCCCCCAAGTGGCAGGGAGGGGCCGGTCCAGCCCCGCACTGCAGGGACCTCCCGTGCCCAGTCGCACAAATGAAGAGGTGGCAAACAGGCCCGGGCAGGGCGCAAGGGGTCTTGCGGTGGGGGGAGGGTGGGGACGCCGCGCTCCCTTCTGGGAAGCTCCTGGAAATTCTGGAGAGTTCCTGGGCTCCAGGTCAGAACCGGACAGGAACCAGCATTGTGGGCTGGGCCTGGCTCCAGGGACTCTCCAGCAGCTGTGTCTGTTTGATCCCATGGTCTTCTCCCCAACCCCTTTGCGAGGGCACTGCAGGGGGGACCCCTGGCCCCTCTACCCACCCCCTTGCTCCTCCAGCGGCTTCCCAAGTCTGCCAGCAGCAGCCTGTCTGGCTTCATACCCAAGGTGAGGGGGAAAAGGCAGGGCCCGATGGGCACCGTGTGGTCGACCTGACACCCAGGAGGGCTTCACGGAGGAGGGGGCAAAACAAAAGGCTTGAAGCACAGCCCACGCCCATTGGCAGAAGTTTCAGGGCTGGCCAGAGGGAGAGCCTAGTGGAGCCCACATCAGGCCACCAGGACTCCCTGTCTCGGGGTGAGGGCGGGAACCGCAGCGCTGGGCCCTGAGGCCCCACCTTCGGGTGCTCACAGAGGGGCAGCGGGAGCCACTAGGAAACACGAGCGTTTTATTCCCGGGCGTCAGGAGAGATCACACAGGCTGCTCCCACGAGAACACAAGGAACGGGAGGGGCGGGCCTGACATCCGGCGTCCACTCTGCGACTCTGACCTCTGGCAGGTCCCCCTCCCTCGCCGAGCCGCTCCATGGGCGAGAGTGGACACCACCCCCAAGGGCCTCCCCCTCTGACTCCTCCTCCAGGCCCGGCGATGGGCCCCCTCCCCCACCCAAGCCCCGTCCACCAGAGGCGGGTCCTGGCTGGGGCGCTGCTGCCCGCGGCCAGGGGCAGCCCCGGGTTATTGCTGAGAAGATATTCGAGGGCCACGCAGCTGGGGTCCCGGGACCCCGCCGCTCTGCCACGGGGCTGGACAAAGGGGTGGACAGAGACCTGGAGGAAGCCCCGGGACAGGGGTGGGGTGGCGTGAGCACTGGAAGCGAGGCTCCTCCAAGGAGTGCAGAGCCGTCTGGAGAAGGATCCGGAAGGAGAGGCCCACCGCCCCACCCCCAAACAGAGAGGAGAGCAGGGTGGGGGCTGCGCTGGGGGGGTGCAGGGGGGCCTCGGGGCTCAGCTGCGCCCGGATTCACTAATACCACGTTATCCACGGACAAGCAGCCACGGAGACGGGGCAGCGCGCACAGACATGGCACAGGACAGGGGGATCGTGGGCCGCCGCAGGGAGGTGGGTGGGGGTTAGTGATGACGTCATGAGGACGGCGAAGGTAAGGGGCGGGGCTGCAGGGGGTGGGGGTTAGCGAGAGATCATGAGGATGGCCACGGGGGTGGGGGGCTGCAGGGCAGAGGCTCGGCGGTGACGTCACGAGGGCGGCGATGACATCACGAGGACGGCGATGACGTCACGAGCCCGGGGATGGGGCGGGGTTAGCGATGACGTCATGAGGACGGCGCAGGGGCAGGCTGCAGGAGGCGGCGTCTGCGGGGGGCCGTTTTCCAAAGCGTCGCCTGCAGGGGCTTCCCAGGCTCCAGCAGCGGCTCCCGTTCTGGGGGTCTGGAGGGGGGGAGAGGGAGGAATCACAGCTGGAAGGGTCTTGCCTTCGGAGGGGCTTGCCTTCGGGGGTCCCTGCGACGTGCAGGAGGGCAGGGGAGGGAGCAGGCCCTCGTGGGCGTGGCGGGGGGACGGCCAGGCCCACCCTGGGCGCATTTGAGCGAAGAGCAGCGAACGGTCTGCACTGGAAGGGAGTGGGAGGGGGCGACGCGACCCCCTGCCCGGGCAGGTGGGAGGCGTCAGGCTGCTGCTCCCCCCCCCCCGCGCTCTCCCTGAGCCCATTTGCTTATCGGTGACGCGGTGCCGCCTCTGGGTGGGGCAGCACGTCTGGGCGCTGCAATGTAGCCCCCTGCCCGCCCCGTCTCCCCGCGCCCCCCCAGGCCCGGACCAGAGAAGGCGGCGATGGGTAGGGCTGGAAACTCCCACCCCGAACACGGCAGCGGGGCCCCGGCACAGCCCAGCGGGAGAGGCGGGACCCCCAGATCGCCCCCGCACCTCCGCAGGGCAGTCCCAGCAGCTCTGCGCTTCGGGGGTCCCCAGGGCCGGGCGACTGCGCGGGGAGTGCTTGCAGGACGGCGGGGCGGCCACCAGAGGGCGCAGCCCCACACTCTGACTGCAAGGGGGTGGGGGTGCGTGTGTAGGACGCGGGCAGAGACCCCGCGAGGACCACCCAGAGGGGCGGGAATCGGGAAAGGGCCTTGGACACAGCGGCCCGCAGGCCGCTCCCAGCCGCTCTCCCCTTGCTGCTTGGACCGAAGCTGCTCGCTGACTCGCGGCTGCTGCCTGCGTGGGGGGTTCACTGCGTGTGCGCCTGTGCGCGCGCTGTCTGTGTGTGTGTGTGTGTGTGTGTGTGTGTGTGTGTGTGTGTGCGCGCGCGCGCGTGTATGCAGGGGGTCGCGCCTTGCACACAAGGTCCCTCCCAAATGCCTCCACACTGGGGCCCTAGCCAGGAGGACCTGTGCAGAGGAGGGAGACGCGGGCGCAGCTTCCTACCTTCCCCGAGGACGGTGACCCCTCAATTCTCTGCCTTCTGGGGCTCGGTGGCTGGAAAGACAAGCAGGAGCCTCCGTGAACCCCTCACCCACCCCCACGGCCCACCCAGTGCTGGGGACCCCTGTGGGATGTTAAGTCAGATACAAACCACAGTTCTGCTGGGCCCAGGCGCCCCCTTCACCGTCCTGAGGCCTTGCTGGCCTGTGGGTGCTGAGAACCCAACACCACCACGGGCTGTGTGTCCTAGTGAAGGGGGATCGGGGTGCCCAGCCCCCATTCCCAGCACCCAGCAATGCCCTGTGAACTGTCACTCTCAGGTCTGTGGGGGCCCTGAGACCCCTGCCCTGGCGCTGAGTCAGCACACCTGGAAGTTGCCTCCCCTCCTAAGAGACCCTCCCCAGAGGACGCCCTGCCCCCACGCTCCCCTGACAGTTACCATTAGCTGCGATGAGGTTCTCCACCTGCGCCTCCTCTTCTCCGGGTGCCCTGCAGGAAGAAGGCCATCAGGCTTGGCCCCGGGAGTGGCTGTGGGGTCACACGGGGGGGCCAGGACAGCAGGGCCAAGTGACACACAGCCCCCAGAAAATCAGGTTTTGGGGCCATCTGGGGCCTGGTGACGTGCCACCCTAGGCTGGACTTAGGGCCTGTAGGGGCAGGTGGCCAGCACACACAGGAAAACTTCACTGGGCGCAGGGGGTGGGGCTCAGCCCCTGCTCACTCAGCCTCCCTGGGTGGGAAGAGGCTTGATTGGTTGGGCACAGCCTGGTGAGCTCTGGACTCAATCCCTGGCACCGTATGCTCCTGGCACAGCCAGGCCTGAGCACTCAGCCATCAGGCCCATGAAACTGCGCTGGGCACTGTCAGGAGTGGCCTCTGGGAGTCTTTTTTTTTTTTTTTTTTTTGCTTTTTGGGTCACACCCGGCGATGCACAGGGGTTACTCCTGGCTCTGCACTCAGGAGTTACTCCTGGTGGTGCTCAGGGGACCATATGAGATGCTGGGAATCGAACTCGGGGTCGGCAGCGTGCAAGGCAAACGCCCTCCCTGCTGTGCTATTGCTCCAGCCCCCACTAGGAGTCTTTTTTAAAGTCCCAGGAAATGGTGCCTAGCAGGGAGCTTATCACCGGTCCCCTCATGACCGGGGCAGCTCTGCCCCCACTGTCCGACACGCAGAGAGATGCTGAACCCTGGGTCGCCCCATCCCAGGCCCCCACTGCCAGGCAGCCCTCAGACCCCCCAGCACATGCAGCAGGGGCAAGACTTCTCCCGGGGACCACTCACCACTATGTCCAACGCCCCCACCCCCATCCCCCGGGACTGTGGACCTTGTCCCAGCGTCCTTACCGGGACTTCTGATTAAACTTGCACTTGCACCTGCGGCCTGAAAGGCAAAGAAACCAGACAGGGTCACGCACTGGAGCCCAGGGTCACCTGCTCGAGCCCAGGGTCACCCTCTGGAGCTCAGGGTCACCCGCTGGAGCCCAGGGTCATGCTCCAGTGTGGTGCAGCAGCTGCCCGACTGTGCAGGGTCGAGGTGGTACCAGCACAGCGCCCACAGTTGTACGCAGCGCCCGAGGCTGGCGTCAGTTCTCTGAGCCTGGGGGACGATGCAGGGATGGCCCGTGGATGGGGACAATGGGGCAGCCCCAGGAAGTGCCTGTGGGGACCCCGCCCAGAGCCCCGAGGCTTCGGGACCAGCACCGGCCCTTGCTCTGCGCTTCTCCCACCAGGCCCTGTGCTGTGCACGACTTGCTGCTTTCTTGAGCACTTACTACGTGCCCGGCACAGACCTGAGGAGAGGAGCTGGGCGGGGGCGGGGGGACAGCAGGACACTTACTCAGGATAAGCAGGATCCCCACCAGGAAGAGGACCACGGCGAACACCAGCCCCCCGATCCTCAGGCTCTGGTAGTCTGCGGGAGATGAGAGGAGGGTGTGCATACTGCCCCCCCCCCCCCCCGCGGGCCTGCCCCTGGCCCCCTCCCCCACCTCACTCACCATAGTGGAAGGGGTCCTTCTCTTTCTCCTTCTCCTGCTCGGCGGCAGCTGCAGGGGACAGTGGGGAGGACTCAGCCTGCACCCCCAGAGGGGGCCCTGGGGAGCGAGACCAGGAGGAGGAGGAAAGGGGGTTTCTGCCTGCCACAGCCACCCCAGGGGTCCCTGGACTCACAGGGACACCCCCATCCTCCCGGTAGCTGCCAACGGCAGGCGCTGAGCGGGACCCTGCAGTCTCTGGCCCAGGCTGCTGGACAGATCCGGCTTCCGAGGCTTGAAGCAAAGGCTGGGGGGGGAGGGGGGCAGTAGGCCGGAGGGTGGAAGGGGGGCTTTACTAGAGACCGTGGGGGGCGGTGGGAGGGACAGTGAGGGACCGCGAATAGCCATCGCTTTCTAGAACTTTCCCTGTTCATTAAATGAGTGGGCAGGGGGGAGAGTCGCTAATCAGACATAAAGAAACGGGAGCACTCCACCAAACTCCCAGGACGCTTCCGGAGGGGCTGGCCAGGACCTCAGGGGGCACTTACCGCTGACCAGGGCAGCGGGGACCAGCAGGCTGCAGAGAAAGATCAGCACCATCTCCATGGCTCTGGGGACAGAGCGGGCCGTGAGCGAGTGTCAGTCCGAGAGGCACCCCTCCCCACCCCGCGCCCCCAGCACAGCAGCTGCCAGAATTCACGAGAGCGGAAGCCAGAGCTGGGGGGCACCACCAGGGCACGTGCTCACCCACTCTGCAGGGGAGGGGCTGTGAGGGACCCCGGGAGCCTGCAGGAGTGGCCCCCTCACCCGCTGCACAACCTGGGCTGTGGGCTGCTCCTCTTCTCCAGGGGTGTTCCCTTTCTCTGGGGGCACTTTCCCTTCTCTGGGGTGATCCCTCCCTCTCTGGGGGGTGCTCCCTCCTCTAGGATGCTCCTCTTTCTCTGGGGTTGCTTCCCCTTCTCTGGAGGGGTGCTCCCTCTCTGGGGATGCTCCCTCCTTCTCTGGGGGTGCTCCCCTTTCTCCAGGGGCACTTCTTCTTTGGGGTGCTCCCTTCCTCTCGGGGTGCTCCCTTCCTCTCAGGGGGTGCTCCCTTCTCTGGTATTCTTCCCCTTTTCCAGGGGTTCTCACTCTTTCGGGGGTTCTCCCTCCCTTTCTGGGGGTGCTCCCTCCTCCGGGGGTTCTCCCTCCTTTTCTGGGGGTGCTCCCTCCTTCTCTGGGGTGCTCCCTCCTACTCTGGGATGCTCCCCTTTCTCTGGGGGCACTTCTCCTTCTTGGGGGTGCTCCCGTCCTCTCAGGGTGTGCTCCCTTCTCTGGGACTCTTCCCCTTCTCCGGGGATTCTCCCTCCTTTTCTGGGGGTGCTCCCTCCTTCTCCAAGGGTGTTCCCTTCTTTTCCAGGGATGCTCCCTCCTTCTCTGGGGGTGCGCCCTCCTCTGGGGTGCTCCCTCTTTCTCCAGGGGTTGCTCCCTCCTTCTCCGGGGGTGCTCCCTCCTTCTCCAAGGGTGCTCCCTCCTCTGGGGGTGCTCCCTCCTTCTCTGGGGTGCCCTCTTTTCTCTGGTTCTGTCTCCTTTGTCACGGTGCTGGAACCCCACTCCCCCCTGGGGCTGGCTCCCTCTGCCACCTACAGCAGACAGGTGAATCAGTGCCCCTCTACCACACCCTCACGTGGTCCAACCAGAGGTGCAGGGCAGGGGTGCGGCTCTGTTCAGACTCTGGGTGAGAGCCAAATGCTGACAGGTGTCCCCTAAAGGGGCTCCTCCCCCGCCGCCCCTCTGACAGGCCCCCTTCCGGGGCTCTGGACTTGTCCTGGGAGCAGCAGGGGAGAGCACGGGGGTGTGGCGCCCAGCTCTGAGGGTGGGACCCCGCCACTCCTCCTCCAGGTAGGGGCCCCCACTGCTGCTCGTGAGCTCACGAGTCCTGGTTCCTGGGGTCAGCGGCCTGGGGACAGGCCGGGGGATAGGGGAGGAGGCAGAGCCAGTCCCAACCTGGCAGGACTCTGAGCTTCACTGCTGGGAGGAAATGGGAAACGCAGGCCGGACGCCCAGGGCTGGCTGTGGCCCCAGAGGGTGACACTGGCCACGGTGGGGACCCCGTCCAGAATCTCTTGGCCTCATCGTCTTGTCCCACCCAGATTGCAAACCCTCCCACCCCCAGCTGCTGCGCTCCAGGCCACGGCCACTAGAGGGCACTCCAGCACCCCGAGTTCCCCTTGAAGGCCTGGAACCTGCAGGAGACTCGGGACGGGCTGACCCAAAGGCCACCGCCTGCTCTCAGGCCACCCACAGACGCTGGTGTTGCCCATAGGCATCACATGACTTTTCCATATAAAAACACAGTCTGGGGGTACATGGAAGCCGGGTGCGGCCCCTGGGCACGGCTGGGAGGGAACTCTAAGGCACTGCGGCCTTGGGGACAGTGCGGGTGTGGGAGTCTGTGTGGATGCCCCCAGACTCCTGAATACACAGGGGGTGGGTCATACGTGTAATGAGGCCCGTGGTGAGGGCAATGGCGTAAGCAGGTGCCCAGGTCTAGAAACACCGCAGCAGCCCCGGACAGCCCCGCTTTAAACCACATCACTCGGTGATTCACCTTCTTAAAGTACACAGTTCCACACCTCCGAGTACATTCTCTCTCTCTGTCTCTCTGTCTCTCTGTTTCTCTCTCCCCCCCCTCCTGTTTTGTTTTGTTTTTTAGTTTGAGGGTCACACCCAGCGATGCCCTGGGCTTACTCCTGGCTCAGTCAGGAATCACTCCTGGCAACGCTCAGGGGACCCTCTGGGATGCCGGGAAACAAACCAGGGTCAGCCACATGTGCAAGGCAGACGCCCTCCCCACTGTCCTATCGCTCTGGTCCCCAGCCCTCGTACATTATCAAGGCTACACACCCATTATCTCAAATTCCAGAATTCAAATGTTCCTGATTCCAGAGAGAAACACCGAGTGCTGGACACTTACAATGCCACACACACACACACACACACACACACACACACCCCCGCCACCGCCTGCTTCCTGCCTCTGCCTCAGCCTTCGCTGGACGTTGCAGACCCGTGAGAGCAGGACCACGTTTTCGGCGTGGCTGGAAATCCCACCCGGCCTATGTGCAGGCTCCCGCCAGCATTCCTCTTATGGGGCGAATGACACCCTGACACCCCACTACAGGGCTGCATCTTCTTCCTTTTCTTCTTCTTTTTTTTTTTTTTTAGCCACATCTGGTAGTGCTCTAGAGTTACTCCCAGCTCTGTGCGGGGCCATTCCTGGGACCATGCAGTGTTGGGATCAAACAAACCCAGGCCCCCCACAGGCAAAACACATGCACAGCCCATGGAGCATTCTCTCACCCAGTCCCTCTGTTCGTTGCAGAAATATGTTTCCTGGGCTGGAGACATAGCACAGCGGGCACAGAGCCTGCCTTGCATGGGACCAAGCCTGATTCTACCACTGGCGCCACCAGGAGTGGTCCCTGAGCACAGAGCCAGGAGTAATCCCTGAGCATTTGGTTTGTGGCCCCCACGCCGAATAAAATGCTTCTCACACCCATGGATCTGTTCAGAGGAATATGGAGGGGATGAATATTGGAACAAGGAGACGCAGCATGGTGGCAGGAGGCCAAGGCCAATTTGTGGTGGTGGTTTGCAATAAATCTGCCCATCGATACGATACACTTAAGCACTACAGTTACCGCATTACCTAAACCACACACACACAATTTATTTTATTTTTTTCCTTGGCTTTTCAGGTCACACCAGCTGATGCTCAGGGGTTCCTCCTGGCTCTGCAGTCAGGAATCACTCCTGGCGGTGCTCAGGGGACTATATGGGATGCCAGGGATTGAACCTGGGTCGGCTGCATGCAAAGCAAATGCCCTCCCCACTGTCCTGTCATTCTGCCCCCCCCAATTTAATATAAAAACTGCCATCTAGGGGCTGGAGTGATAGCACAGCGGGTAGGGCGCTTGCCTTGCACGTGGCCGACCTGGGTTCTATTCCCAGCATCCCATATGGTCCCCTGAGCACCGCCAGGAGTAATTCCTGAGTGCAGAACCAGGAGTAACCCCTGAGCATTGCTGGGTGTGACCCAAAAAGGAAAAAAAAAACAACTGCCATCCATCTCGTGTTTTCTCTCTCTCTCTCTCTCTTTTTTTTTTTTTTTGCTAGAATGAAAACAACTGATGTGGACCCATTGACCTAAAAATCCAGTGCTCGGGCTAAATTTTATTGTCATTTCTACTAATGTCCCTATTGATTCCTCTGAGTTTTCTCTCCACAGGCATCATCTGGCAACGACACAGAACAGTGTTCTGCCTTGCCCAGTTCCGACACTGCGTGTCTCTGCTTCCTGCCGCGCTGCACGGCTGGGGTAACAGGGAGAGAGAACTCAGGGTGTACAATACAGTGATCCGATACGCAATCGTACCCAGGAAGAATCCTGCCACCAGGTCAAAGCCCGCATAAGGTACATGGAGGTGACCGCCCATGATGAGAAAATGAGGATGAAGTTGGTATTTGTTTGGGGTTCGTCCTTACTCACTCTCGCCCTCTAGTGGTCGAGAAGCTGCACGTGCTCCTCCTAGACTTTGGGTTCCCTTTGGAACTGGGCAGGAACCACCCACTACGGTGGGATTCAACCCATGTGGAACCAAAGGTCCCAGATGGGGGTGTGGGGGGTGGCGGTGGGGGCTCTGGAGGTGATTAGGCCATGCACAGGCTGAAAGTGACCCCAGGCCTAGGAAGGGGGCCCCAGAGGTCCTCGTCAGACAGAAGCTGCCCACCCCCCTGCATTGGGGGCTTCCCAGAGCCCAGAAATGTCAGCACGGCCGAGATGTGACTCGTGACTCGGCCGATCTCCCAACTAAATCCCTGCAACACCGGCTTTCAGCCCCAGCACCGCAGAAACGACGGGAGAGGAAGACAAAAAGACTTGTAAGAAATAAATAATTGGTTGTTTATCAGCCACTGAATCTGGGCAGGATAAGTCAGCATATATAATAAAGACTGCCACTGTCACTGTCCTTCCGTTGTTCATAAATTTGCTCGAGCGGGCCCAGTAACGTCTCCATTGTGAGACTTTGTTATTACTGTGTTTAGCATATCAAATACGTCACGGGTAGCTTGCCAGGCTTTGCCATGCGGGTGAGATACTCTCGGTAGCTTGCCGGGCTCCGAGAGGGGCGGAGGAATCGAACCCGGTTCGGCCGGGCTGGCTGCGTGCAAGGCAAATGCCCTACCACTGTGCTATGGCTCCAGCCCAATAATAAAGACTAATAAGCCCTAAAGTTAAAGGATGAGCTAAGGCATTCCTGAGACACGCAGGGGCCCTTCTGATCTCTGTGGCGTTGCAGAATTTCAGGATATTGTTGGTCCCGTGAAAGAGATGTAAGTATTTCCCGTGAAAGAGATCTAAGTATCTCTGTGCTGTGGAAGACCGGCGGAACCAGAACCGCAGAGACCTATTTCAGGTCCTGTGCCGCAGCGCCCCCTACCTCTGACGCTGCGCCCCTGCACGGCCCCTCCACTTGGCCCCAAGAGGCCACTTCCAGCGCAGAGGCAGGCGGGGGACCTGGGCCTCTGCTGGAGGCCCATGGGAATGAGAGCGGGCCGGGGTGAAC